GCACAGCTTTCAGGTTTGATGCGTCAGTCTGGAAGGCTGTGAGTGCTCCCTGTGGAAAATCTAAGTCAGCAACTTTTCCTGGCTTCTCAGGGGAACGATGGTGAAGGCAGAGCTCCAAACAAGGTCTGCAGGGCTCTCAACTTCCCCTTACTCCCCTTGCTGTCAAAAATACCTGACTGTGCTGTACATCTTCAGCCCCTGAAAAAGCCAAGGCAGAGATTCTATAGACCAAAGATGCCCTGCCTGCACTGCACTGCTGTTTCTCTCCTGACATAGATCAGCAAGGTAACAAGGGACAGTAAGATGACTAAGGTGGCAGCCAACTGTTTGTTCTGAGTCCAGTTTGGTGTGATAAACTCACTGTCAGCAGCTGGAGATGCTCCAGAGAGATCTGTTGAAGCATTTTGTACTCTTTCAGCCCATCCGTGTGCAAGAGCCATTTTGTTTGCCTTAGTGAGAGCAGGTCTGCTTTACAGCAGTGCCCCAGCTCATCCTCATGGATGTACAGCCATGCAGAGTGGCACTCTCTGACGGAGCTCACCATGGACCACCTAGTCTGGACACAGCCTGGCCTCCAAACAGTGGTGTCCTATCAGGACTAACCCACTGTCCCCTTCAGCAGGGTGGCTCAGGGCATGTGGAGTGTTATGGTGATGAACTGCAACACGTCCTGTACCCAAATCATACATGGTGGCTGCAGATGCCCATTGAGCATTTGAATCCTTTTGCTGTAACATGGAAGTTCACTGTGCTTACCAACAGCATGTTTCATCCACAGTTCTCAAGAGAGCAGGACAAACCTCGGTGATTTTTAAGTTATCTATAATTTTTGCTCACTTGGCTCTATCACCTGTGGATAAGGTGAAGAACGCAGTTATTAAGGCATCTGTTTACAAGCTCTAGAGATGTCAGTCTTGAACATCTACTAGGACTAGATAACTCACTCTGAGACAGCTGGGCATGCCTGGGTATTTGGAATGAGAAGGCCAGATGGAGACTGATAGGGGCAGGGCACTGGGGCAAAGGTTTCAAAATCAAAGCATGATGTTGCCTTTCAGTGTCCTATGTTTAGCTGTTCAACACACTTAAATGCTTTGAATATCTTAAACACACACAGCTTCTAATCATAAACCAGATCGCAGACTATGGAAAGAAATGGAAGAGCAGAATGATGGGATCATCAGAAGAAATACAAAACTAGCAGGAAATAAGCAACAAAATCTACAGGTGGGACTGAAGAAATATAACTTTTGACTAACACTGCTGTGTAGGTGTCTCATAGGACAGTGGTTGTCCCCAAGAATAGATGGAATGGTTCTGATAAAAACAGTTACCTTGATCTGAAACTAGAGAGACCTGAGACCTCCATGTTATCTGTGCATCAGCTCCGGGCCCCAGCAGTGCTGCCAACAGGGTCCTCCCTGCCACAGACGGCAGGGCAAGGACACAGTCCCTCCACAGATATATCCCAGCTGAAACGCCTCCACCGGGTCCCTGACTCACAGCTTGGAGAGAGGTTCCTGCAGAAACCACCAGAACATGAGGCTGGTGGAAACCTGATGTGGTTATTACGCCCATTTCTCTGCTCTGAGGCAAGAGCTACAAATCCTTAGATCATCCCTGGCAAATATTTGTTCTGTTTTTCCCTAAAATCTCCCACTCAGCAAGATTTCTTCCTGCCCTAGGTGACCTGCTTTGAGGGTTTTACTACCCTTTAAGTTAGAAAGTCTTCCTGAATAGCTATTTTGACTCTGAAAACCTGTCTAATCTAGTAACTCATTAATCTAGTTTCTCCTTGCCTCTAACAAGATCAGAAGGAAAAAAATATATTTGCTGTTTCTTCTTTTCTGTATTATAAGACTAAGCATGTTTCCCTTCAGGTTTCTCTCTCCTAGGTTAAACAAACTCAGTTATTCAGCACTTCCTTGTGGATCATGTTTTCCTTACTTCTCTTCATTTTGTCATTTGGATTCCTTCCATTTACTTCACACCTTTCTAAAGCCTGAACTCCAGCCAAGGCCTTGCTAACAGCAAGTCAAGTGTAATAATTTCCTTCCATTTTACATATTTCACCATTCTCGTCTTTCTGTGGCTTGGAATGACAGTCAAATTTTTGGAAAGAGGAAACAACCTGCAGTTTGCTGTGTCTCATCTTCTGTCATAGAGCTGTGTGGCCACCATCTCCCAATTTCGTACTTGTTTCCTCTACCTATTGTCACATTTTACTGACTTTGATATGATTTTAGACTATTTGGCCAGCATCCCAAAATCATGCTGATTTTTTTTTTTCATTTCCCTAAAGCAGGCACTTTTCCCAGGTCAGGGTCATGGACACGTTTAGATCCCTGGCTCCATCCTGTTACCTAAGCTCTTAATGAAAACATTAATGCTTCGGGTCCCACAGCATGGACATTGAACCACAGCACCTGCTTAGAGTTCACCACTTCAGCCAATCAGAGAGGAATCCAATTTTCTGGTGCCACCATACCATCATGAGGAGCTGCGGCAAAGCCCTACTGAAGTCTAAATACGCCATATTAACTCCATTTCCTTGTTCCCTGGAGCATCTCCCTGTCTGAAGGGAATGAAATTGGTTTGATAGAATGTGATGAGGAGCTGCGGCAAAGCCTTGCTGAAGTCTCAATACGCCACATTAACTCCATTTCCTTGTTCCCTGCAGCATCTCCCTGTCCGAAGGGAATGAAATTGGTTTGATAGAATCTTCCTCTGACAGATCCATGTTAGTTGTTCCTTACCACATTATTATCACACTTACAAAGTGACTGTTTAAGATTTTTCTACCTATGTAGTTTTCACCTATGTGTTAAGGATGGCTCCTCTGGCCTATAACTCACTGAGTCTCAAATTCCCTAGATCCTTCTTTTTCCCCTTCTCAGGTATTGGCACCACAGCATTGGGGGACGGCATCTGGGGGTCTCCACACAACTTGGGGATCACTTTGCAAACATGGACTGCGGTAGTTGCAGTAAGCATCATGCTGCCCCATGCAAGGAAACAGCTGAGACATCAAGTCCAGAGAGGGGAGCTCATTTTCGTGTAAATAAGAAACTCTTCACCCAACATGATCAAATTACATGTATAGAGAACTAGTAAAACCACCCTTGCAAATAATACCTTACCTGAGTCCCTGGAAAATTACAGCGGGTGTTGGCTGATATTAGGCAATCACTGTTCTCATTATTGGTTGCACTTTATCCCTTTGTGTAGAGCTTTTTTGGCATTGGAACGTCCTCAGAGGATTCAGTAGAAAGGGCAGTAAAGCCACCACTAGCCAGGACCTAAGAAATGTTGACTGCTTCTTAAAATAAGGCAGTGAAATGACCTGTAAATATATTATATGCTAAAAGCAGCACGACAATGTCTGAATATAAACAAGGTGGTTTAAAAGCTTGTGGGTGCTTTCTCAGAACAGGTAGGAAACTTTTTTTTTTATGCTAAAATGTCTCGATTCAGGCTCTAGCCAGTTCAGAACGACAATGGATGTTCTATTACATGGTTTCTTGCTAAATATATATATATATATTTTCCACATTCCGTGGAATTCTCCAGTGTTTGGTCCATTTTTGCTATTTCATCAAGTCTTGATGAATATGGCTACAGCTGGCAGAACCCCCCAAACATGGATCTGGGTTGGAATATGCAAAGCCACCTTCAAGTAGAGTCTTAGGATCCAGCATAGTGACAATTACTCTTGGATCATCCCAGGCCCAGACAGACTGGCCTTCTCTTAGATTGTTTTAAAGGGAAGAAACATAAATGAGTGTTTTTATTTCCATAATATTCATTTACTAAGAGGTGATTCTCTCAGTTGCCCGAGTACTTTCTAGGATAAATCTGCAGATTATGAGACACAGAAAACTTCAGATATCAATCACTGCAGTCTCTGGACACAATTCTCTCTCCCACCTAGGAAAATAAAAATTTGGAAAAACTCTTGATTTGTCATCACTGGGGAATAACATCTTTGGAAAAAACTCTCTATGGACTTTAAATCCACTGGTCTCATCAGAGGTGGTAAATTTCATTCCTCTGCTTGAACCAAGAAGGATTTTCTAACAGTCTGAGCAAATCCAGGGCTGTTGTTTGTATTTACACAGGCATCTACTTTTTTTTTTTTTTAACCAGGATAAAAGCACAGCATATTTTCCTAGCAGGATAAATAGCTGTTCTCAGACTTTGCGACAGAGGGAGAATGAGGGGAGACAGAGCAATTTCAGACTAATGCCTGAAAAAACATCTCTGACAACACTGTGAATGGGGGTACAAGAGAATAGGAAAGACACAAAAGGGCTTTAAAGCCTCCCTGCAGCTCCTGCTCCTGCTCCTGCTGGTAGTGGTAGGAGGCCCTGGAAGATCTCTCTGTCCTGCAGTAGTTGATGTATAACGCAGTTTAGATGTCCTGTTGATCAGCTGGGCTCCTCTGAATTATTTTGCTCTTTCCTTATAATTTGGTCACCTTGAACCAACACGCTGGTTTGAGACAAAGCCCCAAGCATTGATGAAGTTGAGATTAGATTTTTATCATGCACATCTACCCATCTGAAACCAAGTCTTGCCCCAGAGTAGCCTTTCTCTGACATGTTGGAAATAAGCCCCAATCTAACATGACTGCCCTGGGCTCAGCTCTCCACAGTGCTCAGGCACTCTCCCACCTTTTTCCTTGTCATGTGCCTTGATCTCCTTTCGAGCTCTGCCTGGAACCATCTCCCATCTTGTGGAGGAGTAGGTGCTCCCTCCCTTTGTCTCTGGTACTCTGCTCACAGCCTTTCCCAACACAGTGAGCACATCAATGAGAGGAGGCAGAGAAACTCACATTACGTAACAGCTTTATGCAGGAGGGTGGATTATCCACCCTCTCTGTATGCCTCATAAGAAACATATATGCTGCGGAGCACTCAAAGGCAGCAGAGAGGACCACGGTGACAGCTAAACTTAACACGGCACTGAGTTCAAGGCAGTAACAGCATCTGACATTGCTTGCCCCACCAGCAAGAACATCCAGAGCTGAAAACAGCGCAGGCTGATGGATGAAAAGTTTTGGAAGGATCATTATACGCTTCTCAACAAGGATGAAGAAAATGAGCTGGTAAGGAGTGGGGGGCTTTGCTGGATTTAGATTTTCTTGTGTGTCCCTTTTCCCACAGGCTCATTTCTGATATTCCTCTTGGTCTTCACTCCGTATCAGAGATTCTCTCTTCAGCATATCCTTGCTGAAGGCAAAACCCTGGATCAGTCCTTGCTGACTCTGAGATTAGTTTTTGACAAGTGAGGACTAAGTGAGAAAAGCCCCAGGTCACTCCAAATGCAAGAGGTCTCCTTGCCCACTGGAAACTATCTGATCAAGGAGGCATGTTCCTTTCCCCGCTCTCTATTTCATTGTCTATTCCAACCTAATTTTGTCTCTCTAATACAAAGGCACCCTTTACTTTTCATCTTGTCATCAAAAAGCATAGCACAGAGAAGATGCTCAAAAAGAAGTTTCATCCAAGATGATTTGCAGAGCAGATTTGAAATCATTGCTCCTGACGTTAGGATCTTAGTCTAGAAAGACTGGACAGATAAGCAAAGTTTACTTCAACTCTTATGGCAGGAATCACTTGTTCTTCAGTCTTTTTTAAAGCATTTACAGAGCAAAATGCTGTCCTTAGAAGACTTTTAATTACTGCTAAATTGAATATACCTTCTGTCTTTGACTATGGCGATTATGTTTGTGCAACAGCTTGAAATGGCTGGGCTGAGGGAGTGCCTTGCAAACACAGTGAGATGGAAATTCTTCCTCTCTCTGCTGGTAGTTATGGAGATCCTGGTGGGCCTAAGAGGAAAACTTTCTCCTCACTAGTGTGTGTAGAGCACAACTGGAATCCAGGTATTACCAGTGCACAGTAGATGCCTCTGCACAGGTATACAGCACCTGCTAGATATGTGTATGTGATGCAAGATCCAGCACCTGCGTTTGCTAGATATGTGTATGTGATGCAAGATCTGGAAGCGACCAGCAGCATATTCTCCCCATAGCCAGAAGCCTCTCTCCTTTGCATGCAGATTGCAGCTAGCGGCTGCTTCCCAGTCACAGTGACTTCCTGCTCTCCAGGATTGCATTTTGAATGTATTCTTAAAACTCCCACTATTAGCAAATTAGAATTCCTACGGATTTTCTAAGTTGCGGTCAATAGTTTGCCCTCCAAACCTTAAAACAACATCTATGTTACTGGTTTAAATTTATATGACCTTTAAAGAAATAAGATTTCATACACAGCAGAGCTGCACATTTAAAAGCTACCAAGTTGATTTGAAGTTAATTTTGTCAGCTTGGTACTCAGGGTTGCATGATCATCTTCATTTTACTTGACCTGCATTGATTTCAGCTTATTTTATGTTGATTAGGATCTGAGTTTAGCTAAATCAAATTAATTGTGCTCTTAAAACTAAATAGATGCTTCCTCCACTGTCGTTAAATCATTTTAAAATTCTACCTGCAGTTGAATCAGTATAATTGTCTGTATAAGCCCTCTCCAAGTCATTCCTCTTTGTTGCAAACTCATCCTACGGAGTAGGCATTCCAATTCAGATGCAGATTTTTTATGTTTTATTCATTCTACAATTTAAATGACCTTTTCACCTCCCAAATACAGAAGCTGATTCAACGACAGGTTACACTTCCTACTTTAGTTAGCAAGCTTTTCTAGAAAGCTTTCAGAGCTTTCAGTAAACTCAAGAGTAGAAATATAGGAATGTTTCCTCTCAGTTATTAACTCTACCCACATCTGCAGACTTGCTCAATAGCTTCTCAGGGGCAGGTGCATCATGTCTCTGCTAATCTGTGGGTGGATCAGTAATGTTATCAGGGGCTGGTTTGGGTATTTTGCTCGGTGATGGCATAGCCCTGCTCCCGTACCCTCCTGCACGAGCACGTGCTGCAGCACCGTCAGCAGCGGGAGGCTGGCAGGCTCGGCTGTGGTACAGGCGGTGATGTGTCAGGTGTAGGTAGGGGAACACCTGCAGCCACCTTCCAGCAGTGTTCCTGGCCTCTGCCACCCCTTAACGTGGGTGTTTTCCTGTCCCAGCCACCAGCCCCAGGGTGAAGTGGGAGGGATTATCTGGAGGTGTTTGGTCTTTTTTTATTTAATGGTTAGGGCAGAAAGCAAAGAGATGACCAAGGAAGAAGATAAATGGCTCAAAGCAGCAGAAATTGAGCAGCGTTATTGAAAATACTTTTTTTTCCAGAAGAGGATCCAACACAAAAAGAAATGATCTTTCTCTAGTTTTCCCTGCAGCCTTAAAACAAATAATCGGTACTAAACAAGTACTCCTGTTATTGACCCTTAAGTATCTGTTTTCAGTGGAAGACAGTATACCTATAGGTACCAGGTACAGGAGGAGAGGAGCTGCTCAAGGACTCGAGAGCTATACTTTTCTAGAGGGAGATTCTGTTCCTTTTCTGCAAGATGGACTTTGCAATTGGCAACAAGTTCTCCCTTGTGACATAGTGACATCCTCCTCAGTTGCAGGCAAATAGGATGATACGGTGGTACTACAGAAGAAGTCAAGTGAAGTGTTATCATGATAGGTCAGCTTTACTTTTGTTGCTAAAAGCTGCAGAATCAAGTTAATTCTTCAGAAATCCAAGGACAGCTCTGATATGAAAATGCTCTACTGTTGGCAGCCACCTGGCAGCATCTTCCTTTCAGCAGCTCTGCTGTACCCTTAATTATATTATATCAATCAGCAAACTCTTTCATTTCTGAAAAGGACCTTGGGGCTGTAAGGGGTGTCAGTCAACAGCTTTTCTTTTCATTAAGCATATGCTTCTTGCCCTGATGAACAAAAGCCAAGGTCAAGCTAGTTAACAAAAATGCTTTCTCCTTGCTCTGCAGGAGATATTCGGCTACAAAGCCCAAGGTTGCCGGAGGGCCTTGTGCATTGCTGGATACATCTTGTCCTGTGGGGCTCTGCTGCTGCTGTTTTACTGGAAGCCAGAATGGGATGTGTGGGCAAACTGCATCCCCTGCAGCTTGGAAGAAGCAGATGTTGTACTGCTTAGAACAACAGTAGGTGGACACTTCTGGCTTATTGTTATCAGCAGAACCTATTGTTTCCATGTATTGGGCAGCTTGTCCTTCTTTACCAGCATGATGTAGCAGATTAGTAGCCATTTTTCACATTTGGAAGTGGAGTGGCAAGGCTTTACAGGAGCAACTGGTTTCATTTGCAGAGTTCAAAGCACTTCATAGAAGATTTTGTTTTTTCTCCTTGGAGTCCGGAAAGATTGTTACTAGCAACATTTTGGACTTGTCACTGAACTCCTCTCTATTTCTCTAGGATGAGTTTCAGAAATACACCAGGAAGAAGGTGACCTGGATTGATTTGTCCACATGGCTGCCACCTGAGGGCAGTAAAACAGATAGTCCTCTTGTAGCTGATAAAGATTCTGTCATAAACAGAGCCATAATGAAGCCACATTTAAAGGTAAGTCATCTGTAAATGGAGGAGAAAGAACAAGGAAGCGGTGAATGAAGTCTAAGAATCAAGGCAAGCTCCCCAGATGCTCTGCCAGCACCTTCCTGCAAATCCTGTTAAATGAGTTGAAGTTTCTCCCTTGAACATGGAGGAGAGCGTCTGTAATATAACGAGGTGGTTTTCCCTTAATGGCGAAACAAATTTTTTCTATTTGGTCTTGCAGATGAGATGTATCCAGGTGCAGAAAATCCGTTATATTTGGGACTTTGCTGTAAAAGAGTTCAAGAAAGTTGGGTGAGTGTGAACAGCTCATTACAGAAATCTTTGTGGATGGGGAGTCCTTTGCCTGAACTTTCTTCTGTTATCCTAGAGCAATAGAGGACAGCAACACATGTCAGAACATACATCACAAGTTTGGAGCTGGCCTGACAAGGGAGGAACAGAAGATGAGGTACTGTCTACATGATTTCCTTTCTGATTAGTGTTTTTCAGATTTAAGTAGACATGAGCTAATTATGAACCTAAGACTGTAAGACATACAAGTTCCCTCTTTAAAATTCATGTGAGCATTCTGCTACTCACCTTACTGGTAAGGTAGTGTAAATGACATTCAAAAAGTTCAGAATTATCCCTCTCACTTTACTGAGCTTATTCTGTTCTAAGTAGTGATAGGAAAATGCTGCCAGCTTTGGCATTTTGGGCACTGTAAATGTTGTCTGACATCTTTTGCCACGATCTCCTTAAAAGTTTTCAGAAAGGCTCACCACAGCATTTAGTGGAGAACTGAAGACCTTTTCAGGAAAAAAAAAAAAAAAAGTAAACTTTATATCTGGAGTAAAATCTCCTCTTAAAAAATATTTTTAATTGATCAGCTACAATAGTTTGTTTCCTGTTCAGACATCAAAAGTTACTTTTGATGCCTCCAAAAGTTACTTTTCTAGGGAAAAGTGTTAATGTTTATATGCACAGTTTTCTGCATGACATCTTACTCTACAAGACAAATCTATAACATTGGGAGACTCTATCTTCTTACAGGCAGCTGGTGTGTGGGCCTAATGCCATCGAAGTGGAAATTCGTCCCATTTGGAAATTACTTTTCAAAGAGGTCAGTAAGCGTGACTGCCTTACGGTGTGCAGATGTGATGTGTTTCAAAAACTTCACCTTGGCACTCTGGGATGGGACAATTGATGCCTCATAAGCATAAGCCATGGAGGAAAGCTGATGGGCCTCCTTTATGGCTATAAATGGTGATAATATTTTTAGCATATTTCCTGGCAGAAAACTGTGGAGAAGAATATCCAGCTAGTAGAATATATACTGCATAATTACAACACCTAAATCTTATCCTTATGAATGCCCTGCTACTCAGAGAGTGTAGTTTGGAGGACTAGTGCTGTTACTCTGACCTAAACAACCCCATGTTCCTGACTGAACATCTCTCAGAAGCTGTGTGACCTTGCCCTGAGATTCAGCCATGACATGCACTTGGAGAGCTTGTGCTTTTGGCAACTGCTAGGCAGATCATAACTATGTCCTCCTTTCAGGTCAGCCCTTGATAGCTGCCTTCAGTGAAATTTCTTTGGTAAAACTAAAGCTCACTTGTTCCTCCTTAATAGCCTTGTTTTAATAGTGTCCAAATAAATACTCTGTCATCTTAAATTTCTTTTTTCATTTGAACAAGAAGTAGGACCTCTGATTCTGTACGCTAAACTCTTGGTGTCCCTACAGAATGCTACACAGTTGTTATGTATATGTGCTTTAGAATGGAAATAAGAATATGCAAAATTAATATTTTTAAATTGCTTTATTTGTCTGGTAACTTCCTTTTCACATATGTCTTAGCGCGAAGTCAATTTTCTTGTCTATGTAAGCCGACAAGATCCATTGCAAGATGAATCTTTCTCTGTAGAGGACTAAATAAACACATCTTGTGGATAGAAAGAAGGATGAGTGTATGGCTGGTTACTTGATGAGTTAATGTAGACAGCTGCTGGACATATATTTTTGCTAGCCTATAAGAGGAGTTTTTGCAAACAGAGCATAACACCATATGTGTACACAGCAAGGGACTTATGGATACTACACAAATGTCTTTAGAATAGTAAGAGCTTTGAAGGATGGGATTCAAAGCTAGTACATATCATGCATGAGTGCAGTCAGAACCATAAGTGGAGTTTGTTTGAAATACTCTACAAGAAATAAATGAAAAGCTCCAGGGCTCCTGAAATTGGCTGGACTCCATATTTCCAGCCTTTCACTGTCCCCTGGAGATGGTATGAAAGAAAACTCCAGTCTAGCACTTTCAAAAGTTTATTTAATATGAACTTTGCACTTCCATCCAGGTTTGAGGCTTCATGTTTGAAATTTTAATGGTCATGCCCGGAGGCAGATCAGTCCTCAGAAGCCTGTGGTATTTCTGTCCAGATACCGCCTCAGTGGCTGAGGACTGGCATCTTGATTTAGTGTCTGTCACTTTGTCCTAGTGAATGTTGAAAATGTACTAAATCTTCACTGAGGGACCAAATTTTTCAGATGAATAATTCATCCAAGTTATAATCGTTATGCAGATGGCTCTTTCAGTGACAATCTGACCCGGGTGTAATCTGGTAAGTTAGGATATGGAGTCTGTTAATGCTCTGAAAACACCATGGAAGAAATTTAGCTTGTAATAGCAACACAATCCCTTAAATTAGTGTTAAAGCCTTCTAGACATTATAATGAATGTTCTTGCCTTGTCCCATACTCGTTTGCTCCTGACACATGTTGTGTCCTTCTCCTGACAAGTGTTACATTTGTGTTTGCAGATTTTAAACCCCTTTTATGTGTTTCAAACCTTCACCCTCACTCTGTGGCTGTGCCAAGGTTATATTGAATATTCGGTGGCTATCATAATCCTATCAATTATTTCCATTGGCTTAACCGTGTACGACCTGAGACAGGTGAGTGCCACGCGGCCTTCTGCCTTCCTGTGCTACACTCTGCTGCTAACTGCATTTATCACACACACAGAACGCGTAGCTATTTCCAGGCTCTGTCTTTATGGATATTAATTTTTTTTTACTACCTATTCTGCTGTATTACTACAGATTTATTCCTACAGAAAGACCTGGTGGTCTTGAACTTCCCAAGAATTAGGAAAGAGGATTGAATTTTGATATGTGGCATACACAAGGCTTTGTGGAGGTGGAATCTATCCATGAGTCCACATCCCACCGTAATTTTTCTTAAGAGTTGTTCAATTCGGTCTTAACTGAATAAGAACCCTTTTTTTTTTTTAATTCTCACATTCTTTCATCACTTCTGCCTTAGAGTTTCTTAGAAGCATTTTTCAATAGTCTCAGCTCATTCAGTCTTTCAGGTAAAGAACTCATGTAATATGCCTGAAATCCTCAGGCTCCATGGCAAAGGAAAATGCATGAAATTAATTCTTTCACAACATTTTCCTGCTGTTGAGTATCTTTATTCAGCGAAGATAAGCAAATAGGTGGCCTGAGATACCTGGTGCTTGCTGTTAGAAAGGGATAGCTCTCCCTTTAAAACCTCTCCCTCTAGCCTCTGCAGCATAAATACATAGGAAAGGTAAGAAATCATACGAAAAAAGGACATAGTAAGGAAAAAATGAGGGAAACAATGAGAATGAAGGCTACTATGAGGTGTGCTGAGCTAACGCTTCTGCTCAAAGCCCACCTGAGCCTGCACAACGCACGGCTTGCATTGCCCCCAGCTTATCCTTCCTGCACTGCATCGCTGGGGAATGGCAAGAGTTACCCCTGAGAATTGTTCCCAGAGTATAGGCAGCTGCTCTGCGGAATTCTACCCTGGAAGAGGTAATAAATCACCTTCCGGAGCCAGTTTGAAGTCATCCTGCTTTCCCCTTGCGCGTCTTGCAGGGCTGGGACGGCACACGGGCAGGGCCTGCAATGCTGACGAGGCATGGCCATGCACCCTGCACCTTGCCACAGGCGAGCTTTTAGTGTGGTGGCTTCTTCCAACCCTCACACCAGCCCCAGCAAGCTGCTTTGTGTATACCTGGAGCTATTGCCAGTGCAGGTGTGTTGGCCAAGAATCATTTTTTTGTATCTTTGGCTAAGATCTATAGGCTGCATAGCACTCACATCCCTTTAAGAGCACCTCCAGAAACAAAGTGTCAGTGCCACATACCAGGATTGCAGAGCGCCAAGGGTCTGTTCAACTTTCCTTGGCAAGGTTGGTTTTATTGTGAGGCTGGAAATTTTGGCATGCAGAATTATAATGTTTGGGGCCTCAGGATATTCTTCAAACTGGTTTAATGTCCATGCAAGAACAATGCTAATGAAGAAATCCACACTTGGGGATGAAGTTTTTTTTCGTAATTGCAGTTTTTAAATCAAGATAACACATTCTCTCTCTGTTCACACAATGGCAGCTGACTTCATCATTATCTCAGGATATGTAATTGTCTGAATCAGATTGCAGAACTGGCAAAGCTCTGGCATCCAACTAAATTAGAATCTCCATCTTTTCTTCTTGCAATGACTGTTTTGTAATGATAGTCTTTACAATTTGGTTGCTCTATTCATAATCTCCTAACATGAATAGAGCTCTTACTCAGTCTACTGTACTTACTCTGGAGCAAGACAGGGATAGCACCTTGAAAGCTGAGGGAGGTACAGTGGTGTCAAAGGCAAGCAAATAGAAATTTACGTCCATGTTGTCACAGCAGTTTTGTTCTGGATTAACTCTGTGAACTTATCTCCTTGCTCCCAATATGGATGTGAAACCTGCTCTGGATAATTCAGTTAAGTTCAGTTTCTTTGTCGATAGGATGATTGCAACATATTGATTAATCTGGGTATTGGTATTTCAACACTCAAATTGCTTTCCAACCAACAGCAGTCTATCAAGCTGCATGACCTTGTCGAGGCACACAACAAAATTGAGGTTACAGTCTGCATAAAGAACGAAGGTGAGTCATCTGTGTCTCATCATAATTGCTAGCCTGTGTAATTAACAGTGATGAAATGCACCTGGAATTCACCTCACACTGATTTCCATGGAAGGAGCATACAGAGGGCTGGTCACAGCGGGAACGGGTGCAGAAGGAGGTGGGCAGGGCAAGGCAGTGACAAGTGCGAGAGGAGCTGTGTGGTGCTCCATAATGATGCACACAGGCCTGGCAATTTGGGTTAAGAAACGAGAACAGCTTTGGAATCTGAATTTCAGAAACAAGTAGCTAGATAACAACTCTGGTCTTCAGAGACCAGCTTGCCTGCACTGTTATAGGCTAATTTACAATCTTGTCAAGGTACTTTTTGGTAATTTTCAGGGGGTCCAGAAGTATGGCATCCAATGAGATATGGGTTTTCCCTGTGTTTCTGAGTTCCTTGTCCATAAAATAGAGAGCACAGTCTTTCTCTGCCTCCCAGGGGTTTTGAGATGTGCACTACTAGGGTTATGAGTGATATAAGGGCCTTACACGTTTTCTTGGTCTGAGTGTTTATAGACGCTAAACAAAAACAACTTCAGACAATGACTTGGAGGAAGATGCTCATACAGGGCCTATCTTTGTCCTGTTGCTTTTCAGTCAGTTTTCCTAAGAAACATTGCCCTTATGCAGCGCAGAAGTTAGACGATGTTATATATGCCTTGGAAACTTTTCTTATTGCACAGACCTTGTGCACAAGTTCATTTTATATTGTACTACAGGTAGCAAAAAGCTAGAGTCTCGTCACTTAGTCCCAGGAGACATGTTTCTTTTGGATGGAAAAAAGCTCTCTCTCCCATGTGATGCGGTGCTGATCGATGGGAGCTGTGTTGTGAACGAAGGCATGCTCACAGGTATGACCCTGGAGTACGAAAGGCCACCACTTTCAAGCAGGTCTTCTGTCAGGAAGATGCCCTTATCTGTTCCGGTAGTGATTTGTTTGCTATTTCTTAGAATAGTTCATGACAGAGGGAGAACTATGACTTGAATAACTTACAGTTGTCTTAGGCTTTTGATTACTTCCATTATGTAATAAATATTTCTTATCTTCATTAAAAAATAGGTTTAATACACTCCTGGGAGCACAAAGTATAGATACTCAAATACACAACATGTGTATCTTTTTTTGAGTTTTAGGATCAGATCTTGGAGCAATCCTGTTCAAGGATAGGTGTCTGTGTTATACAAAAACAACAAGCCCCTGCAAGGCACTAACTACAGCTGAGACAAAATTTGATCTAAAATAATTGATAGGAATCAGAAAAGAAGCCCATGCACTTTGAGACTAAAACTACAATGGTTGTCACCATAAATCCACCTGTGTATATCCATATCCAAACTAATCAGGAAAGCTTAAGAGCCTAAAGACTGATATTAGTTTTTTAATATGGAGAATCAAAACTTTAAATCCCTCTTAAGTGAAGCTGTGCAATCCTGTTCTTAGGTGAAAGTATTCCAGTTACTAAAACTCCCTTGCCTCTTATGGAGAGCGCGATGCCCTGGAAAACACACAGCATGGAAGACTATCGGAGACATGTCCTCTTCTGTGGCACTGAAGTCATACAGGCGAAGCCAACAGGCAGAGGGCCAGTGAGAGCTGTCGTGCTTCAAACTGGTATTTCTTTTATTTTTCACTTGTAGAGGGGAAATGGAAGCGCAAGGGACTGCTAAGGAAGCTCCTTACTCTTTGCAGTTCAGATCAAGAGTAGATGTGTTGTCTCTAAGAAGCCTGTTGTCTCTCAGAAACGTTGGTTCCCATGTGATGATTAAAGGAATGTACGATGCTACTCATCCCCTACCTACCTACCCACTGATTTGGACTGTAAAGCCATTGTGTTAGATACGTGATACACAATATGTGTCTTCACACAGGGTTCAACACAGCTAAAGGAGACTTGGTGAGGTCCATCCTCTACCCCAAGCCTATGAACTTCAAACTCTACAGAGATGCCTTCAAGTTCATTGTAGGGCTCTCTTTGATTGGCATTCTTGGGCTTATCTACACGGTCTGTGTGTTTGTCTACCACAAAGTGAGTACGAGTGACACAGCACTGAGCGCACAGTGGTGCCTGGTCTTGGCAATACTGTCCCCAGTGCAATCAGTGCTGGGGCGTGGGGAGGAGGGACACTGAAAACAGACTATGGCTGTCATCCCCTGCGGCAGGACCTGGGCAGGGTGGCGGGGTCGTCCAGTGCTGTCGCTTGGTGGGGAGGGCGGCTATGCCCACCCCATTGCAGCTCATTGCTCTTGCTGCTTGCAGAAGCCGGTGACGGAGGTGGTGGCCATGGCGCTCCTGCTCCTCACCGTCTCCGTGCCGCCCGCTATCCCCGCTGCCTTGACAACAGGGATAGTTTATGCCCAAAGGAGGCTGAAGAAAAAGAAGATTTTCTGCATCAGCCCACAGAGGATCAATATCTGTGGGCAGATCAACCTGGTGTGCTTTGACAAAGTAAGGTGCTTTCTGCAGCACTGAAAAGTGCTTTGCCTGACAGAAATATATATATGTATATATAAAAATCATTATTTATTTATTTATTTATTTATTTTGCCACTCCACCTGCCTTTATTTACTTCCAGGACCAAAATCCTCCAGAAGTGCCTGGGTGAGAGGTGGGAGGTTTGCCCTAGCCAGGAAGGCCACAAAGAACTTCTGGGGCTGTGGCAAGGAGGAGAGTGTGGGCAGTATTAAAGTAACTAGATGTTTATTTAAATTTAGACTGGCACATTGACAGAAGATGGACTGGACCCTTGGGGTGTCATCCCTTCAGAGGGAAGCCGGTAAGGAAGGATTTAATTTGGCAATGTCCAGCGTGAATGCAGTGTACAAACGTATGATCAGCAGAGAGGCGCTTGCATAGAAAAAAAGAGAGGGACAGCAAAAAAAAAAAATGCAGCAAAGATGGTTGCATCTGGGGGAGGTGGAGATGCTGCAGGTCTCATGCTTGGTTCCCTCCTCCTGCCTGAGCTGCACACATCCTCCCCAGCACCTCCTGCCTCCGTGACCCTCAGAGGAGAGGTCTGGGTGCTGTTGCAGGAGACGCAGTAATAAATATGTCACTGCTGATTCTAGACAAACATACGGACCAGAAGTTAGCAGCAGCATGAGTGTTTGTAATTACCCCGAGGGGATTTAGACAATATGCACAGAGCTTTTCAATTATGTCATTTGCAGCATAGTTCAATAAATATTCTTAATCTAGTCAATAAACCTTTCATCATTTAAGCGTTAGGATAATGCTGCTTCTGTTGAAATTAGCAGCATTGCCAACTAACTTTGCCCACTGAATCTCTCCTATCTTCTGTAAATACTGTGAAAAAAATCAGTGAAGCCTCCTAACACACTGCCACAGCCAAGCCCGTAAAGCTCAGATGTCCTTATGCTCCCTCACACCCTCAGTAGAGTCGGTTTTAACTCCAAGCCCAAAACACATTAAAACCCTCAAGTGATAAGCATCTTTTAAATAATAAATGGGACTATAACCAGAATTATACCATTTAATGAAATAACTGTAATACAATCAACAACTGGTGCAGCCTGCATGTTATGTCAAACTCAAATATTCATCTTATATAGTGGCCAGGACAAATCAGATACGCTGTATCTACCCCTAGATTTCATTAGTAGTTGCTAATATATCAGCTACTTCAGCCCCAAGGAGATAATTACAGCATAATGAATGAAAGAATGGATTCATTGAGAAAGGCAAAAAATTACATTCCTGATAGGTCCTCACAGGACAGAAAGAAAATTACTATCTGGTACAAGTTAATGAGATGAGGTTAGTTAAGTGTCACTCAATAAAAAATTCTTCTACTAGGATCAAAACACAGGCATATATTACGGTCTCTCCTTGCTCCTGCCCCGTGACCCAGGGGGGTCACACTCGAGAGAGCTACGTGCTCAGCAGGCAGCTCGGAGGCCCCCGGGAGGCAGAAAGTCATAGCATTGCCAGAGTTATTTCCAGTAAGCTCGTCCTGCAGGAGCATCTGCTCATGTGAACCCCAGAACAAAATTGGTTATGTATATAAGAATAAATTCCAGTGATAGAAAATTCTGTAACATGTCAAAACATGAGGCTGTCTTTGTAGACATGTCCATACCTCACCCAGTGGGAACTAGAATGGTGGCTTTCCAACATGCAATGAGGAGCTATTGCTGTCTGCACTGATCTCATTAACGTATTTACATAATTACTTACTTACTTCTTAAACAGTCACATTCTTAAACATATTAGAAGAGTAGCTGTCAGCTAATCCGAGCACTGCTAGGCAATAAGAGTAAAGGAATTTCACTTGACTCGCAAAATAGCCTATTGTACATTTAATAAGATATAAATATTTGCTGGTTTTGTACAGTATTTAGCAGTTTCACAGCATCTTGCAAGTGCTAATTAATTAATAAGCCAATTATGACCAGACTGAGACCAGATATAATTTGCTGGAGACAGAATAGGTTTTGATAGCCCAGAGGAACAATAGATGCTGCAATTCATTGCTCTTTTGGGTAGAGCTGCTAGGTGCCACTCTGCTGACTTCCAGATGTGTTTCACTGCTCCTGTTCTACTAATGGGGTAGTTAATGGTAATCAAAGGTAAATATAATATTTTAAATTTCTCCTTAGTGTGTCAGCCTAAATGGCAGCGGACTGTGTTCTGGTCTGGCAGACATACAGCCTGCTGCTTTCTTAGAAGGAAAAACATTTATGTGAGAAAAGAGGACTCTGCAGAATAATTTTCATTATAAAATCAGAGCCATCACATAGCCCAGCCCCGCACAGGTCCAGGCTGGGCTGCAGAGATGAAGAGCAAGTGTACCTCAAGGCTTTCCACAGGAAAGAAAAGGATATGTGAATGTTTTACAGAGTGCCTCAGTGTAGCTCAATATGAATCAATGAACTTATTCAGTTTTAAAATCAAAGTGAGGGACAAGCAATCAGATTCTGTGGATATGCAGGCGTAATATTTACTAGTGGAAATGAAGGTCGCACCCTCGGGCTCACACTGAGCAGACCAGCACCTGCACCCATGAGCTGAGGACTTGTGTCTGTGTATCCCTCCCGCATGCAGTCCCAATAACCCTCTGCTTTCAACCAGGTTCCAGAAAATCCATAAATTCCCATCCAGCACACCTCTGCCCTGGGGCCCTGTGTGTGGAGCCATGGCGAGCTGCCATTCCCTGGTTGTTTTGGATGAGAAGGTACAAGGAGACCCGCTGGACCTGAAAATGTTCGAGGCCACGCACTGGGTAATGCGGCTCTTCTCCCCTGCACACATCCAAACTGCAGACACCTTCAGACCAGCCCACAGGACGTCACTCTTAAATCGAGCTCAAACGCTTACCTGGGAGAGAAGCTCCCCTCCAGGCCTGGTGGTTGCGGCCCTGTCCTCCTGCAGGTGCAGCTGTTGTCGGCCTTGTTATTTTCAGTCTGGCAGCTTTTTACTGCCTCCAGCAGTTGTTTTGCTGGGGGTTGCTTCCATTTGCTCTCTGGAAACAGCAAAGTAAGGAATCAGAGCAGGGAGCCTGGTCCCTGGTGGCCGCCCCGCCATGGTCGCATGGCGCAGGGACAGCAAGCAGCCCAAGGAGCACTCACGTGGGCCCTTTTGCTTATGGATCTTTCCTCTGATGAGCAAAGAGTTGTGTCGGTATAGAAAGGAGGGGGTCTTGGGGCATCAGAGTTAAATGCCCTGTCATCTTTCCTCCTCCAACGTTTTGCTCAGGAGATGTTAATCAATAAGCAAGACAGATGGCAGGTCCTGCAGCAGCCCCGTGGGGAGGCACCAGACCCATATTCACTCCTATAGGAAACTCTGCAGAAGGGGAACATGAGGGTGAATGCGCCTCAGCACATGTAAAGCAAAGTCACAGAGGGCTAAGCAGCCTAAGCAGCCCACGGCTAAAATTGTCATCCTGCCTCTGCACAGTACATAAGCAAGATCTTTTAAAAGCAAGAACCTAGAAGATAAAATTGGCCAGATAAGGA